CGACCGAGCTGATCACTCCAGTCAGAGTAAGGAGGATGATGAGTTGGCTCGAAGTAAGACCACTCATTTGTACCTAAACCTCCGAGATGAAGGAATCATGCGTTTTCGCCGGAGAGGTTTCGAACGCCCTCGCGGAAACACGACAACGCATGGAGACCGTAGTCCGAGCAAGACGCACAGTTTGTCAGGGTCAAACGAGATCCCCGTACGATAGTAGGGGATAGGAATTAGGAACGGTACATTGTTTGGTGATAGATAGATGTAGCCCGCGACCACCCAGACACGGAATATAAATATCGAGGCGCCTCCTTAGCTTTCAAATCATCAGCGAATGGAGAAGAGATCTCATCAATATATTCGTTATACTTTGATACATACTTTTGTTACAAGCTTTCTTGACCACTCTCTGAGAAACCTTATTGGCCCCAGTTACAATTCGTTCAACTTAGAATTGGCTGCCGCCTAACAGTGGACTCATCTTGAGTGACTAAAATCAATGGCTGGACTTCTCCTGAGAGGTGTAGAGGATCGGGAATCTCATTAAGATTTTCATCCCACTTCAAAAACCGCTCTTCACATGACTTCATGTGTGGTAGAAAGACATCATTCCGATAGCTTTTAACATCTTCACGCTCATGGCCATTGTTGTATATGCCTTTTCGATACTCCTTGTATTTGAACCCGAGTTTTCGTAACCATTAGCTGGCGGTAGTTAAACTGATTGCTTTTTCCACATCTCGAACCACATTTCCAAACAACCGGTTGGCTATAATATCTTCCTCATCTGACTCTGTCTCTCTCCAGTAGGTTACAACTGCCTTGGCAAGACCATGTGAGGTAAGTTCTATCAATTTGTATTGTTAATACTGCTCTTAATCAACTTGCAGCTATGTAGAGAGTCATAAACTTACTATCACCAACTTTAAGAATATATTGACGAACTGCCAGCAAGGTATCACCATCATCCAGGAGTGATAAAACCTTGTGATGTCTTCCTTGCCCAGGTTCTGGGATCTTCCACTTTGTAACCCATAGAACCTCATGCCGCATAATTCTGTCTTGTACCCTTCTTCCCCACCCACCTCCATCAGCAACTCTTTGAGCAAGCTTCTTGCATGACAGCAATGTAGGCACTTTGCCTCCTGGCCTATCTGCACTCTTCAAAATTGCTTGCTCTTGCTTCAGTTGAAGCTTTATGAACAGGTAGACCTGGTAATACCATAAGAAAAAGAAACCAGTAGGTCTGTTTTTGGCTTTTCTTCTGCGCTGAGAAACATTTTTCGTAATAGCTTGGAAAGCATCCTGCAAAATCTTTGCACGTTGAGGACATGCTTTCTTGTAAAACATACGTCGTCGTGGCCATGCCTTATAATCTAACTTTAATTGTTTGGCAACTTCAGATTCTCCATCAATAGGTGGTGCTAGACAAGTATTTTGTATGACTTCTTGTCTGGTAACTTGAACTGAAGATTCAGTTACTACCTGTGCTGTAGCTTGTCGTTGGCGGAGTTTTCGCATACATAGTGCACTTTTTGTAATGGGTTTTGGCTGCTGATTTCTGTCTCCATTCTAAATAACTTCTGTTAGAATCTCTATCAAATCATGAAACTAATATAACACTCAATACCCACATCTATCTGACTTTGTTGTATTCTTGCTCGTCGTGCTCGGGCTCAGAGAGTATTTTGATTTGACGAACTCTCTTTAGTTTTTGCCATTGAACTTCTTGTATATCTTAGCTACAAGTTCAATTGCAGATTTAGAGGACAAACCTGTTATATGAGAAGAAATAAAATTGGACTCTGAAATGTGATATGAAAATAATATCATCCAGAGATGACTCCTTCAATATGATTTTATAAACTTTACATCAGCCAAAAGCAGATTACGGCAATTTACACCCCTTACCCTGATTACATAAGGCATCACATTTTGCAACACCAGTGGTACACGTTTTAGATGCATTACACCATACCTTCTTCCAATACTTTGATTCTGTCTCTACACACTTTGTCTTCCTTTTCTGAATACAATAAGATCATCGCTTTCCATCTCATCAAGTCCAGCCATCACAACGTAGACTTCAACAATCATATTAAGCGAACATTGTCTTGCCCGGTAGAGCGTATGTGGGTTGAAAGGAATAACTTGAAAAAAGGTTTCAAGCGGTCGTTAATTTCACCTCTCGTGAGACCTCAGGTATACCTGTGTGTTGCCCAGCAAAGCCGCTTGAGAATATATGTGCATGTATGTGCATGGGATTAAGGCTCGGAGAGTGTCTTGTTTTCAATTCTAGTGCACGGCCTGGTGCTGACATCGTGAAACGTTGTATGGTGCCATCATAGCAGATCACCCGTTGGCGCCGCCACTATCGGATGTCTTGCGCTGCGGCTCGCGCAGCCGAGTTGACCCTACAAGTGTCCCTATCAGCTGATTAAGCAGACGAAGTAGATACGTGATCCATTATTGGCCTATTGACCCCTTCCATCCATCCAGCGAGGGGGGGACAGGTTTCCCCTCCAATCTCCCCGCACGTATTTTAAGAATACCGATACCATGACCGAAGCAACGTGCGACGCCGAAAAGGTTATGGAGCATCGAACGCCCCAGGGGTATTGGGGAAAGGAAACCCCCCAAATTTGGTTAAGCAAGAGAGATATTGTAATTAGCAGGGGCGGGGTGCTGAGAGCACTTTGCCCATAGGAATATTCACACAAGCATACCAACATGAGTCTTTTTAATACTCGCCATCGGAGAAGCGCTCTAAGTAGTTACACACAGTTCCAACAAGAAACAGAGGCGGCTCATAATCATCATCACTTTCCAATTTCTCCAAGCCAGGGAATACCCCTGCGTGGAGCTCTGTAACCAACAAAGCTTTAATCAACTAACTAATTAAGAAACACTCCAATCTACCCAATAACACCCCGAGCAACAAAAAAAAGCGAGAACCGATGATAGTATAAATAGAGGCAATAAGAACAACCCTTTCCCCAAGCACCACCTTCTCTCACCCAGCTCCACACCGCACTACACCACCCCACCAATCCTCTCGGCTCTTACAGTATATTTACACCCCGCTTGCCCACACAGCTCCCTCGCAAAGATCACCGTCTCCACGATCGCCTCCACCGGTGGTTCCATGAACGACCTGGACGTGGTCTGGAAGCTGGTGCAGGCCGGATACCTGTATGTTTCGTCTTCAACCGCAAGAAGGCATGCCTTCTTGCGGACCCAGATCTTGTGATTGGTGTTGTTCACGAGCCGGCTCGAGAGACCCCTAGACTCGAGGGCTCGAGCCCAGGTCACACCCAGACTCGAGGACTCGAGCCAGGCTCGAGCCGCCAAGAGGCTTGAGTCTAAAGTGGCCACGATACCTCTACACACTGCCATTATCACTCAAATCAACCAAAAATTGTATATAGCAACTTGAAAACAAATACAACTAGCCAAATGACCTTCCCACTATCCCCGAGTCCAATTCCTGACTCGAGTCGGCTCGTGGACCCCTGTTCGAGCCGGCTCGCGCCTAGTGACCACCTAGGCTCGAGTCCACTTCGAGCCGGCTCGAGCCTAATGACCACCTAGGCTTGAGTCCACTTGGCTCGGCTCGTGCACAACACTACTTGTGATCGTAGGTGAGAAATTTCTTCAGTGTTAATTCGCACATCTCTATTCTGTGATTTTTGTTCTGGCCATCGTCATCATAATTACTTCCGATTTCTTTTTGGGGGGGGGATTTCTCTCTGAAGGTTGCATACCTCTCAAACCTAATGCCACTAGGGTAGGAGGGTAAATGCTTCGCTTCCAAGAGGTTTGCCGGTTTTTTGTCACTTGCTTCTTCAGATACAGGAAAGATACAGGAAAGGTAGTAGGTGAGGATTGGAGGAGTGTGAGTCCCATTTATTCAATACTTCGGGGACGGGGGGTTATTTTCAAGTGACTTGCGAGAGCAATCTTGAAAGAAAAAAGAAGTTATATGTGCTGTAGGTAAACCGAGATAGGAATTATTCACTCTTATTAGCTTTTTCAAGATTTCGAGAATCAAGTGTTAGGCTGTTTGTCTGCCGCATTGTAGGTAGCGTTTGAAACAAGGTTGAAATAAGGTTAAGTCACTAAGTGTCACTCGATGACCAATGATATGACCAGAGCTATCTGCACGGGCCATCACTAATCGATATATATAGTTTGTTTCACACTAGAACACGCGATGTACTAAAGTTTGGACAAATATCACCGTAGATGCAAAGCTAGGCTCACCAATGCGTGCGCTTGTAACCTTCAAACGTTTTAGAGGGTCTGAGAAAACAAAAATCAAAGAGGAGTAGTTCTGGGTTGTTTGCCTTTGCTCCAGAGCCGTAGGCCCAGAAAAATGGAAGGAATGGAAAAAAATGAAAAATTAAAGAAATGTATGATAATAGCAGAAGCACCTTGAAACCCCAGGGCCGAGCCGCCAGGATCTTTGGAACACCTCGGTGATTTTCCAGGATCAAGAACCCCCCCCCCGCCTTGGAGCCTCCCAGGGTTTTTTCCATCATTTTCAACATGAAAGATCAACTATTATCTATACTTCCTACTCTGGGCTCTATCTTCATGCTAGGCAAACCTTTAGACCCCCAAGTCATTTTCAACATGAAAGATCAAGTATTATCCATACCTCCTACTCTAGACTCCATCTTCATGCTAGGCAAACCTTTAGACCCCCAAAGGACGAGTCACCAATAGCAATCTCGATCCATCCGTTTTCCCTGAATGCTCGAACGGGATTTGTAAATCTAAGACAGCATGTACTGGTGTTCTCAGTTGTTCTTTCCGGGCTGGAAGCCGGTGAATGCGCCGATGCTATCCACGACTTCCCGAACAAGCCTCCCCATAGGCAATAGCACCTAGACATTTCAGCCATGGTCTTCATATTCCCCTAGCCCCCCGCAGAGTCATCGAGTGTGTGAATTTCCTAGACACAATTTGATACCCGGCTGTAAAGCCTGCCGATTCAGAGTACCGTGTAATATCATAAATTTAGGTTACCAAGCCTCTCCGTTTTTCCCAGAAACTATCAAAGAACTCTGCCAGTGTCATGGCACTAACCACAGATAAGAGAGCAACTTGATATTGTAGCTTAGGTAATCTTTATTTTTAAGCCTAAATCATCCAACCACACCCTCTTCCACCTTCTTATTCGGCTTCTCTTCCTCCTCCGGGCTCAAAGTCCTCAGCTGTAAGGCATGAATTCCACCCTCACGCTCCAACTCCTCCTTGAGCAAAGCATTAACCATTCTGTGGCGTGCGAGCTGAGGTTTTCCCGCGAATTCGGCGGAGGTGATGAAAAGGCTACCAGTGAGTTAACTAGAGTGATATTTCACGGAAGAGGAGAACGAGTACCGAAAGTGGGTCTCTTTGGAAGTTACACCTTCCATGGCCTTATGGTGAGCATGCTTATCGGAATCATTGTGAATTTGTAAGGTTATCGGCGAGAGAGAGACGGTAAGCTACGCTCCCGAAAAATCAGTACTCACCCTTCATTCCCCAAATCATGGGAAATATTCAAGGTTAAATGCTACCTTTTGGCGGATTTTGTCCTCGATAGGAGTAGAGCTCGTCATCTTTGCGAAACCCCTGACAAATCTGATCATTTGTTATAGCAGCGGCCGCGTAGGTGTGGAAAGGGGATTGAATGAGGAAGAGAAAGCTGTTCCGGGAATGTTTAACCAATTGACCCCACTTGAGCCTCAAGTCTTGGCGGGATCGGCGTTAGGTCGGTGGCGGACTTTCGGCCCTTCCCCCACAACCGAAAAGCCTTCAGCGAGTGTCACCTCCATCTCATCCACCTTCCTTCCCTATCTCTGTTCAGGGTCCAAGGGAAATGATCTATATAATATAAGGCCATGATTCCGGTTCTACGACCCCCAACCTCTGTTGTTTTCTCAAGGGTCCGCCAGTCTCGCAGAATGACTAGAAGAAATATTGCCATCGAGACCCTACCTCGGCTACCAATCTTTGAAGCTCTCTCCTCGCACAATCCAAAGAACATTGCAATCGTTCACTCCGAGTCTGGAGACAAATTTACGTATTGCAGTCTATTATCAGATACAGCAAAGCTCAAAAGAAAACTACTGGAGATGACCAAGGCTGATGATTTGCAGGAGCAGCGAATGGCGTTTTTCGTAGAGAACGGATACAACTATGTAGGTGCGCTAACGCCAACAGACTGTCCAGAAAGACATCATACCTCCAAGTACTGATTGGGTGCTCTGCAGTTTCACTATTGGGTATATTTGCGGCAGGTGGAATGGCAGTTCCTCTACACCCTAGTCACCCACCCAAAGAACTTCATTATATCACCAAGAACTCCACCCCAATAACCATCCTAACAACTCCCAATTCCAAAGCTCACCAAGTATTTCCCCCGGGCTTCGATTCCCCACCAATCCTCAACTTTCCCGAGTACCCCCCTGACAAACCGCACGATGCTCCAGTACCGGTGGATCTCTCCCCAGCACTAGACCCCCTCCGAGGAGCCTTGATGATCTACACCTCTGGCACAACCGCCGCCCCCAAAGGTGTAGTCTTAACCCACAAGAATCTAACAACCCAGGCAACAACTCTAGTCACAGCCTGGGAAATGGGAAAAGATGACCACCTCCTACACGTCCTCCCCCTCCACCATGTCCACGGAATTATAAATGCAACCCTTGCCCCTCTCTTCGCAGGTGGAACAGTAGAATACCTATTCCCCTTCACCGCGCAAAAAGTCTGGTCCCGCTTTGCCGATACCTCGAGGAAGCCGATAAGTCTGTTCATGGCAGTACCAACAATATACTCCCGTCTCATAAATTCATACGGGACGCTACCGGAGCCCACGCGCTCCGCGGGTAAGAAGAATGTGTCGAATTTGCGATTAGCGGTATCGGGCTCTGCAGCGCTACCAGCGAGCACAAAGCAGAAGTGGGAGTCTCTGGGTGGTAACCTACTGGAGCGGTATGGGATGACTGAGATTGGTATGGCGCTCTCCCAGCGTTTACCGCTGACCGACCGAATGGCGAATTCTGTTGGGTGGCCGTTGCCAGGCGTCGAAGTGCGCCTCGCGAGCGATGGCGCAGATATAAAGGAAGTTGGGCAAGAAGGGGAGATACAAATCCGTGGTAACAATGTCTTCCGCGAGTACTGGCAGAAGGAAGAGGCGACAAAAAAGGAGTTTACAGAGGACGGGTGGTTCAAAACTGGAGACGTAGCGACACGCGATGAGAGAGGAGCTTACTATATCAAAGGGAGGGCAAGCGTTGATAGTAAGCTTCCCCAATCATACCAACCGCCTTACAGGATTACAGCCTGATCTTGGGAAATAGTAATTAAATCTGGCGGCGAGAAAATATCCGCCCTAGAAGTCGAACGAGAATTACTTGAGCTGCCGCAAGTGGCCGAGGCAGCAGTAGTAGGTCTTGAAGACGAAAACTGGGGGCAGAGAGTGGCAGCGGTGCTCGTGCTCACCCTGCAGGGTAAAAACGAAGAATTTGGCTTAGTAAAGATGAGGGCCGAGATGAAGAAGCGGGTTGCTGAGTATAAGGTCCCAAGGGAAATCAAGGTTTTGGAGGCCATCCCGAGGAACCAGATGGGGAAAGTTAATAAGAAGGAGCTTGTTAAGAAGGTTTTTGCAGGGGATGATCCGTAGTCATAGATTGTCACTCGGTAGCTTTCGGTCTGGACTCTATTCCTCTTTTTCCGGCTGGCGGATAACGGGAGTCACGGAGGAAAGGTGACCCATTCGTGACATCTCGTTACTGTATTGTAATTCGGTTTTTTTTTTTTTTTTTAGTTTTCGGGTGAGCATTTAAGGGAGTATGATAAGTTACTTAAGTTAACATTTTAATTGGGAAAAATAAAAACCGGTTGACAAACACTAGTAACCTACCGCCAAATCACCAACATCCTAACCTAACGGCTACTTGGCAGCCCCTCCACCCCCTTCCCCAAATCCTCCCCAAGCGCTTCCCCACCAACAACCACCTCCTTGCATCCCTGCAGCACATAAATCATCCGCGCCCACTCGGTCTCACTAGCATTCTTCCAAGCATGTAGGGTCCCTCTCTGCACCACCACGTCGCCCCTGCTAATAACCCTCTTCTCGCCGGAATCTAGCATTGCCTCCAACTTCCCCTCCAGCACAATCCCATAATCCAGAGATTCCGTCCTGTGCATGATGCACTCGTACCCAGGAGCAAAATCCACCATACGCAGGACCGTGCCTCCATGGTTCACCAGACCGAGTTTGTGCTCCTCCATAATCTTGTCGTGCGCCTTGATGTCGGCGTCGTTGCCCAAGTCTACCGGGAACGCCGAGGTCGTGTAGACCACGTTGAAGGCCATTTGATTGCCATCGTAGACTCTCCAGGATGCTGGACGAGAGGAGTGGAAGACGGCTTGCTTGGTGATCGGGTCGTGGGTGGTTATGTGAGAGAAGGTTTCCGGGAGGCCAGTAGAGAGCTGGCCTTCAATTGGGGTGACGTTTGGGGGAGTCATGCTTTTCCGTTACAGGGCGGTTCCTCTCCTGTTAGCCTGCCGATCCAGTGGAGGAATCTGTGGATTCGCTTTACCTTAAAGATGATTTGATTTTTCCTTTGAAAGAATCAGCCGTACCCACTCGGAAAATCCACTACCTCCGCCAAGCTCTAACCCCCGCAGCCAGAGGCGGGAAAGTTCGGACAGGGATAGTGTTTACCTGACGCGGTGTGGTTGGATGAGCTGAAAATTACTAACCCCAGTGCACGAGACCCCTAATTTCCAAACAGTCCATGTCAGACCGCATCAGTCAAACACTATTCCTCCTCCTCGAGGTGTTTTCTCTCTTTATGGAGATAAGCGCCCTACCGGAGACAGTGGATCGCCCGAGTAAATACGGTAGGCTTTGGGAAGGTCGATTACCGGTATTTCTTGACGGCTCACCAATGGTAGAGGAGTGGGTAGTTTCTTCGAGGTTGTAAACGACCTCTTATAACCACATTACCCCGGTCCCGCCAACCATATGGTTCCAAAATCAGTAGTCTTGCATCCGAGTAAATTAAATGCCTAGAGCAACTAAACCACTTCAGTAGTGCAAGGTTCTGCTTCCGAGTAAAGATATTCAGTGCCCCGGTCCGCCCCAGAACCAGGAATAAGTACTGTACTCGAGTACTGTGCACTCCAGATAACCCATCAGCCGCCGAGCCAGCCCGGCCACCAAACTCCCTTCTTCTCCTTACTTCCCCGTCTTCCATCACTACCGGATCTTTCCCCAATTCCACTTCAATCAGCAATTCCGAAGACATGGCGCGAACTCCCTTCACCCAATTCAACATCCCCTTTGGAATTTTCTCTACGGAGGAAGAGCCTCGCCCTCGCTGCGCTACACGGATCGGCGAGAAAGTCCTTGATTTGAAGAAATACGCTGAGAACGGAGGAGCCAAGGACATTGAGGGATTTATCACAGAAACCTTTGCTCAGGTCAGTCCACAATCCAGTCGGCTAATCTGAGGTATCGTAACACTCCACAATCACCAGCCATCCCTCAATGCCTTCGCACAACTATCCGGTGCAACCAGGAACGCTGTAAGGCAACGTATTAGAGATGACATCCAAGGAGGTCACGTGAAGGAATCCCACTTCGTCGAGGCTTCCAAGGCAAAAATGCACCTCCCAATGCAAATTGGAGACTATTCCGACTTTTACTGCTCATTAGAGCATTGCCAAAATGTTTGCACTATTCCCGCGCTATATGTGTTTCTAGGCCTCTAACATGGAAGAAAGTGCTCGGCTCACCTTTCAATGCCCCAAATTCCCAAAAACTGGTTCTATGCTCCATCCGTATACAATTCGCGTGTCTCGAGCATACTGCCTTCTCCTAGCACGTTCAGGCGACCATCGGGTGTCTACTACAAGACAGGAACCGAAGAGGCTGTCTATGGCCCCACCCAAATGATGGACTTTGAGCTAGAGATGGGATACTTTGTTTCCAAACCTGTCCCCCACGGAGAAACCATGAATGTGGATGATGCCAAGCAGTACATATTTGGATTCGTACTTCTGAACGACTGGAGCTCGCGTGACCTACAAATGTTCGAGATGAAACCACTAGGGCCGTTCCATGGTAAGGGATCCGCGACAACTATATCGCCATGGATCGTCACGATGGATGCCTTGGAAGAGTTTAGTGTACCTGTCAAGACCATCCAAAATCCTCCGTGCTTCCCGCATCTCGCGTACGGGAATAAAGCAAAGGCTGCGCTGGACATCAAGCTTTTTGCCTATCTAGAACGTGAGATGATGATAATCCTCCGTGGGTGAATATTGTTAACGAGGTTTGACAGGGGCTGGAAAGAGATTCAAGATATCTCAGAGCAATCTCAGGTATCTCTATTGGACACCGTATCAGCAACTGGCACATCATGCTTCTGCCGGATGTGGCTTGAACACAGGTGATTTGATGGGGACCGGCACTATATCTGGAGATGTAACCCCCCCCCCTCCATTTACCCCTTGCATGATCGATGACCCCAGTTCTGACATGTAATAATAGGCTGCAGATACGGATGGAAAGAAGCTGGAGCTAGGCTGTTTGTATGAAGCGACAGAGGGCGGTACAAAGTCCATAACACTCCAATCCGAAGACGGCAGTGGACAAGCAGATTTGAAATACTTGCTTGATGGGGATGAAGTGGTGTTTGAAGCATGGTGCGGAGATATGAAGCTCGGTTTCGGGGAGTGTAGAGGAAAGCTTGTTGGACAATAGACAAAAGGGTGAGGTATGAGATGTAACGAACACGGGAGAGAAAGGAGTCTACGCCCAGAAGAGGAAGAGATCAGAGTTCAAGTCTCCGGGCGCTGGGCGCTGGATTATAATGAATCAATTGGTGGAAACACGTAGTGGGCGTAGAGAGCTGTTTCAAAACGGCTCTCTCTCTCTTTGTTATACGTATATAACATCGCTTCGATTCCCTTCCCCAAGAGCTACAGAAATCCTCTATCCGCCGGCCATTTCATCGCCATTCCACCCCTACCACGCCCTCCGCATCCCAGACCCCTCCCAGAATTTACCCCGCCCCGCGGCCACGGGGACGGCACCGCCGGGGGCCCCGGGACCCCCTAAAACCCGACTTCTATATCAGGATCCTAACTTCCCTCCCCGATGCACTTCCTACAACAGAAATACCAACATTTGAGTTCTGGGCCAATACCTCACGTCCCCCAAGACGGAGAGGCACACGATTAGTCATCCATTCCTCGAGTGATCAGACGTGCTCCGCTAATTCACCGGCCATAGGACCCCAAACTTCATCAGACCATGGCTAGGACAATCGAGGAGGTACGAAATCCGATAATGGAACTTACGGCGGGGGCACCACGATCCCCCGGTCCGACAGCTAGCATGCCACGTCGCCGCCAACCCTAGCCCTATGAATGGATTATACGGAGATGCTGCAGAAATATTAATTACGTTCGACACATATCCATTCAGGCCCCCGGTAAGGTACCAGCACTACATCCACCGCATTTTCTAACCCTTTCCAGATTATCTGCATCCTCCACACCTGTTTCGAACGCGTACGAAAAGGCTTCATAAAGCATCACTCGTCAGGTTGATTTCACGGTGGGGTAGCCGCGTTGGACGACCTCCCTATGAGCCCCGGGAAGTAACAATGAGTTCGGAAAATTGTAACGGATTTTCCCTGAAACAGCGGATTGTCCCCCCCACCACCACTCATGTTGCGTCTCGGTCGTCTATCCGTTGTTCCTGCATCCCACCCTGCAGGAACAGTTCAGCAAGCCCTAACCCTAGCCAATCCGATTCGCAGCCGCGGTGTGGAAGGGGATATCCAACGGTCAAAACCAAAAATTTCGCCATACCCCAAGATATCATAGTATAGCGACGAGTACATGCAGTTGTCATGAGCCCCACGCAAAGCGCCCCTGCGTTAGCTTTGCCATCAGGCTTTAGAGGGAGTAGAATGGGGAGGGAGAGAGAGAGAGGCTTATATAAATAAAATTCAGCAGGTAGAACACCGCTTTTGATGCTTCTGTAGACTGCCGGCAGACGATCACTCGGAAAAGCAACTTTCGCAGGTAGAATTTTGCCATCATGAGGTCGCGCTATTTCAATTTCCTCGCTATACTCCCTCTAATACTTTTGAGTATCCAGAAAGTCCATTCACACTCGTGGGTAGGCGAACACACTCCCGTATAGTAGCAGCACTACCATCAGTTAACTCACATATACCAGATTGACGACATCCAAGTCGAAGGAGAGGGTGTCCTAGGTTATATCCGTGGCTATGGTATTCCTCGCTCCCTCCGCCATCTCTCCCCCTCCCCCCTCTCTCTCTCCGAGCCCAATTGACCCCTCACAATGAACACAGCCGGTCGGAACAACGAGGTAGACGTACACAATACCTACCAGCCGACGCAGCGATCCTCATCCGTCTGTAAACCCAACACCCAATCGAAACCCACAACTCCCCTCGCCGGATTCCCCCGCCTCAGAGCAGCCCCAGGGGCGCGCATCCTCGCCCGCCACACGGAAAACGGCCATGTCTCGCGACCGGAAGCGTCCGACGCCTCCACCGGCTACACGTACTGGTACGGGACCAGCAAGCCCTCGAGCAGCCATACCCTGCAGAACGCCTTCGACTGGACCAGCGATGGTAGGGGCGGTAAAGGCGATGGAAGGTTTCTCTCAAGAGGCACATACGACGACGGGGAGTGCGCGGAGCCAGGAAACACCGCCATCAGCAGGGAACGTGGAATCGGGCCCGCGGGACAGATCAAAAGCTGCGTGGATAGCTTCACCCTGCCGGACGATCTAGAGATTGGGATCACGTACTCGGTTTACTGGGTGTGGGATTTCTCGGGCCATTTTGGGTCCAGAAATACAAAGCATGTTGAAGTTCGTGAACCCCTCCCCGTCCTCTAATTCGACCCGTTTTTAACCCGCGACTCGGTAGTGGTATACTTCGTGCATGGACATCGATATCGTTGCTCCCTATGGAGCGGGGCGAAGTTCCAATTCCGGAAATGGCAATTCTGGAAACGACAACACGGGTGGAGGCACTCGCGAAAGCACGAGCTCGGGCGGCAGCACAGGGGTTACTAGTGATGCCGGCTCCAGTGGCTCGCGCGGCTCGGATAGTTCGGGAAGCTCTGGCAACTCTGACGGGAGTGGCGATGGAAATACCGGCAGTGGTTCTAGGGGCACCATCGACGGCCGCAATACTCCCGCACTACAACTCAATATGGACTCGCCCGCGTGCAGAAGATACGGGATAGCTCCATGACAATTAACGTTGTTCTATGCATTTGGTCCTCTCTTGCTCGGTACATTTTGGTATTAGCGGAGAAGGCATTTCTTCCAGCGACATGTATATAATGGGAGAAAGTTACATAGAGCAACATACGATGAAGGATGGAGTGCACCACTACAAACAAGCATCCGGGCAGAATAGTCTACCACCTCCACTCTTATTTTAATCCAAGAGTTAATTTGAATTATGATCATATATAATCACTCGCATATGCCAAATTCTAGGAAATAATGGAAGAGCGCCAACAGAATGGTAAAGGTATCATACAAAGAGGTGAAACAAATAAAGAGAAAGGAAAAGCATCCTAATAATGTTGAACCGGTAATAATGAATGCGAAGAAGAAAACGCGAAACCAAACCCACCCATAATCATAATAAAACATTTCATTAAACCCAACCCAAAAAGTTTAAGGAAAACCCCTCTACAGCGCTCTACTGCTTAGTAGGAACCCCCACACCCCCCTTCCTCCTTCCATCAAGGCACCTCCCAACAACCTCCTCAACAACCCCCCTCCAAACTCCAGCCTTGACCCCATTCTCCACAAACCCACTAACAACCCCCTCGTTCACGCCTCCATACACAACTTTCGCCCCTCCAGAAACTTCAAGATCGCCATCCAACGATAACACAATCCGGATCTTCGAGCGTATTTCAGGAATAAGAACGCTGACTCTGACAACCAGACCCCCACCATGGCCCTCGACAGGGGTAACATCTGTTGGATGCAACCGGCGGACTTGTCTGATTTGCTCCGTAACGATAAGCGCGTTCCGCCAGTACCCGTCCGCAATCTTCACAACAGCCTTTAAACCCCCCACCCCAAACAACCTCTTTTCCAGCGCCGTGATAAAAAACGTAGTCTCTACCTCGCCTAGTGGGACTGGATCCGAAGGCTTAGAAACAGCCGGCAGGACATAATTCACCCCCATAACTGCACAAGCGCGCGAATCCCAGAGTATGCGAAGCTGCTTCAGGAACAGTAATTCCATAGTCCCATCTGCCACCGAGATTATACTCCATCCATGTCTTTGCTCCAACGCAGTGACTTTTGACTTCCAGGTGCTGACCTCCTCCTCTGACCAGCCCCGATTCATCTCCTTCACTCGTTCAGCCTCTTCGATGCAGGATTGGAGTGTTTGCTTGCGAAGTTCACGCTCTGAAAGCTGAGCGTCGAGTTCTTCAAGGTCTCTCTTTCGCTGGGCGAGCTCGGTCCTTGTTTGCTCAATCTTGTATTGCACGGATTGGAAGCTCTCCCGGGCAATTGCAAGCTGTGCTTTATCGTCTGCCTCTATTCTACGCTTCATCTCACGCATAGAGTCTAGTTTCGACTTTGCAGCCTCAAAGCGGGAAATTATTTCTGGGAGGAGTTTCTGGCCGGCGGCGAGGGCTTCTGAAAGCAGCGTTTCATCGTCTTTGAGGCCGCCGAGATTTTCTTCTAGTGCTGCACGAACGCCCTCGAGGAGCTTCATCCGCCACTCATACCAGATCCCCTTTGCGAGGAATCGCGCGTGAGTTTTGACATTCTTGAATTGGGTGTCCATGATGAGTTTGACGTCAGGCGGAGCCTCCATGTATTCTCGGAAGAGTAGGGGGTTTTCCTCCAGTGTGTCACCCTCGATTGTCTTGACAACCTCACGCCCCTCGCGGATGTACTTTTTTAACTCACGGCAAGAGTGCTGGAAGAGGTCGAGCATGGGAACGGTGCAAGCACCGGCGATGACGCAGTCTGCCAGACTAGCTTCGGCTTCATCATCCATGCTCCGTCGACCCTTCTTAAGGCCTGGGAACCCAGTTTGACGACGCTTGGTTGTAGTGAGGCCATCAAGGAAAGTGATGCTAGTCATATCTAGGAACTCTTGAAGACTAATTTTGGGTTCTTCTTCCTCTTCAAACGTCTGATCTGGCATCTCTACCTCTAGAGAACTCCCTTCCGGTTGGTCGAATGTAGGGTTAGCAGACTCGATGATAACTGGGGTTTCCGGAGCAATAACAACCGCCCGCTTTCTTGGAGTCTGCCTTCGGCCAGAACCAGGCGTAGGTAAGGTAGGGCGTTCAACTCCCGGAGTCTTTGCCTGTGGGGTTGTAGAACCACAGTTATCACCAACAGCAATAGGCCCATCTGCACTCTTCCTCCGCTTCCCACCTCCCAGCACTGCCAATGCATCATCACTCCTCTCCCTCTTGCCTACACCTGCCAGCAGTGCACCGTAAGCCAGACTCTTACGAGAGGCCTTCCTTGGTGTCAACATGTCGATCCTGCTTCTCAGGTCAAGACTCTTCCTCCTCTCCGCCTCCCTCTCTTTCTCTCTGCGCTCGTCCTCTGCATCGGCCAAATCGTCTTCTCTAGACGCCCTGATCAAATCCCTAGGCACTGTAATTGGGGAGAACGAGGGCATCTCTTCTCCAATAGACCTTCGCTCAGAAAGTTTTGCTGCAATACGCGGAGATCCCAAGCCGGGCTTGTCAATACCCACTCCCTTAGTGACCATGGGGGAGCCGAAAGCCATCGGCGTAGCATGCTTGGACGGAGTTTTCTGCTTCATTGGCGAAGGTGAAGTTGGAAAGCCAATCCTCTTTTTAGCACTCATCGAGTAGCCCCCATTGATACCGCCCGCACGCAGTGGGGTTTCAATTATTAGGGCCTTCTTGCTCGGAGTCTTCGGCTTGGTTGCCGGTACTGCCGGGGTGAGTTGTTCGGGAGGTGTGCATGGCTGAGGAGTTGATAGCTTCTTCTGAGGGGTTGCAAAGATGAAGTCTTCCTTGCGCTTTTCCACCGTTAGTAGCGTAGGCTCTTTAACAGGAGTAGAGTGCGTAACCAAAGGAGTTTTCGCAGCCGGGGTAAGCTCTGTAATGGGGGTAGACTTCGGAGTTGCTCTGGGAGTGGCTTTCGGGGTTTCCCGTTTCCGTTGCGGAGTTCCCGACTGCGTGACAACGGGTGTGGGGACAGGAACCGGAGACTGGGAATGCGCGCTCTCCACGGTCTTGCGAGTGGCAGCGCTGCTCCTTCGAGTAACTCTCTTCTCACTCCCCATAGCAGATACAGCACTCAACCTCTTACTAGTTCTTCTCTTTGCCGGGGTCGGGCTTCCCTGATCGGAAACAATCTCCATCTCTTTCCGTAGCTCAACAATCGATGGCGCAACAGGTGTTGGTACTACTTCCTTCGTCGTTGGTTGATGCATACCTAGATTTCCCTTGGAGGATAACAGGGGCCTAGGATCCGGTATGATGCTGCCGATAGCGGTAGTGATATCCATGGTAACACCCTCCATGCTGAGGTCCCCATCCTCTTCACCTGTGTCATCTGCATCTTGAGTCCCTTGCAGAGCTGGAAGTTCGGGGTAAAGTGAAGCAGACTCCTTTCCCGCTTGCTCGTTCATAGCGGAAGGCAAGATTCCGCCAATTGCAACGGTCATGTCCATAGCTGACTCTCCTTCGTCCTCTTCCGCAAAACTAGCAAGCCGCTCCTGGTCCTTATTCCAATCATCTCCGCTTAACAAATCTCTCCTTCGTGGTTCCGCATTCTCACCAGTGCCATTAGATTCGTTGTTCCCAATAATGCCTCCGATAACGCTGGTAAACTCCATGGTTATCTCCTCATTCGCTTCGACATCAGATGAGATCGGAGAGAGAGCACGTGGCTGAGGGGCAGATATTATACCGCCCAACGGCCGAGTAATATCCATCGTCTGGTCCCCCACGTCGACGGTTGGTGATGTTTGCGCCGAAGCCCCGGACAAGATCCCACCAACTGGCCGAGTAATATCCATATCCATAGTCTGGTCTTCATCTGCAAATCCAGGCGACCCGTTGACTGCAGTATTTGAAAGTATACCACCGACAGGTCGAGTAAAATCCATATCCATGGTCTGGTCTTCAGCTTCGAAAGCGGATGTTTCCCCGGAAGGGCCACTAGGAAGTGCGTCACCAATCGGTCGTGTCATGTCCATGTCCATATCCTCATCCTCTCCAGTTTCGTCACCGCACTGGACCAAGGGTTGGGGCTGAAGTCCAAGAGACCTACGCTTAGCCCTCTCCAGGGCCTTTGCGGCATTTCCCAGGATACCACCGATGGGACGCGTGATATCCATATCTGCAGTCACATCCGCAGTCACATCCTCCCCGCCAGCAGTTGCCGTAAGCTTGTTGGGGGGAACGAGAAGGCCACCCACAGGCCTAGTTATTTCCATGGTCATCTCACCGTCACCGTCATCAGATCCTGGCCGAGTAGGCGCAAGTTGAGGAGCAGATGGTAAAAACCCGCCGACTGGTCGAGTCATCTCCATAGTCATATCCCCACCAAGACTCTCGGTCTCATCATCCTTCTCCGAGCGGTTTGACTGCTCGTCGGTTTCTGTAGCCCCTTCAAGTTTCCATGCAGTGCGTTTGCCAAAAGCCTTAAAGGCGCCAGTGACTTCGTCATCCGCAATTTCCACATCCGCACTCACATCTCCCGCAGTAGTGTCGCCGGCCACCGAAACAAACGTCCGTCCGCCAGCGCTATCATCGCCGAAATCGTCTAAGCTATCGTCATCACTATCCTCCGCTTCGGGCATTCCAGCAAAGGGGCTCTGGGCACCCTCAGTTCCCGATGAGAAAGGGGAAGAAAAGTCATCGTCGGGATTATTAAAGTTCATAGGCGGCGTCGGAGCTGAAAAATTATTTCTCTTATTATGCACACTTGGGGGGGTTTCTGGAAGCCTTGGATCTGGGGCCACGACAGGTGTAGGAGTCGCCTGAACACCACCGAAACCGTCCGCTCGGTCTGTAGATGCAGTGGCAGGCGTAGATGCTTTGCTGCCCCCGGTAGAGCTAGGTGTTGATGATCCATCGTCGCCGCGATAATACTCCACAACATCCCAAGTATGAAGAGTAGCCTCTGGAGCGAAAGAAACACGGCGGTTACCAAGAGACTGCCGGCGTGCAGCTCTCGCCGCTAAAATCTCTGCTCGCCGCTGCTGCTCCTCTTCAGTGCGTACAGGAACTGTGGTGGGTACTGCATTGGAAGGAAAAGGCGGCGGTTGAAAATTGAGCAAAGTGCTTGCAGAGGATGACTGTGATGATGATTGGGGCAGCGAAGATGATTGTTTATTATTACCTCCCCGAGACCTATGCGCGGGGATCGCCTGGATAGGCGAAAGCGGTAAGGTAGGTTTTAGAATAGACTTCACTTGAGCCTGCGGTACAATCTAAGGTACAAAGAAGTGGTTTTCTAGTCAGATTCGTTGAAAATACATATAGGGGGAAGCTGTGGTCACGAACCGAAGATATTCTCCTCCCATTACCGTTCGCATCTTTCAGTCCTCGGCCATTAGATGTATCATTTAGCGCATCGAGCCCACCCGGTCCTAAGGACTTCGATCGAGATTTACGAGTGGGTTTTGCTATTGCTGATTCTGTCGATGACGAGTTTTCCTTGCTTATTTGAGTTGTAGCAGCGGAGCTACTCGGCATCACAGCAATCGACTTGCGAGAACGCCGCGGTTTTGGCAGCCATTGCTGATCTGAAGACATTGTGCAGAGTTATGTGTAAAGGAGAAAGGTGGTTGAGTGGATTTCTTCCCCAGTGAGCGAGCAAAAGTCTCGCCCTTTTGTTGACAGTGTTATGGGCGGGGGCAAAAGGCCTAGAGTGGAAGTGGGGATATTCTCGGGTAAGAAGAAAGTCGCGAATGTTTTGGTTGTGGCGGTTTGTTATGATCTGCCGTTTCTTGGTTGCATCTTGCGTCGCGACTTATCACTGTGACACCCCCCGAACCATCTAATCTTGAAACATCTCTTGGCACATACTGCATTTTCTAGCGTCCAGTGCATCATGCCGTGCCGTACGTACTGTACGTACGAGTACAGTTCCTATGATACCGTATCATACCGGTAACTTAGTCTACGAATCGCCCGACATCTGCCAAGACTACGTTCCGTCTATGATACCCACAGAACAAGCGACACGCTTACAACAGATACCGGTAGTGATAATTCCCTCTACTCGATTATAGTACCCAAAACAAACCCTTTGCTCCCTACACAACTAACCCCAGAAAGGCTCCAGCATGCACCATTACCGTAAGTGTCACTCGATTAAAGAACCGAATTTTCCGCTGCAAATTTCCACAGTGCTGCCATAGCCCCCACAAATACAGTAAACTCCATGTCCAGAACTATTTATAAACAGAAAGACATGGGCTCTCAAAGGCCATCTAATAAAACTCCAGAGAAGCATCCAACCGCTGTCACTCTTTAAGCTCCCAACCCGCAGTGCATAGTGCAAGCAAAACTGGTACTCGTGCTAATTCTCCAAACTCCTTAGTATCTCCTGATACCTTCCCTTCCTCATCGGGTCAATCGATATTAATTTCGCCAACCAGGTCCTCCTATCCTCCGACCCCTTTTTCTCGTCATCCTCAGTCAACCCTTCTTCGTCCTCTTCATCATCCTCCGGGCCTTTCGGGTCCTTTCTGACCCGCTGCAATAAGCCTACGTACTCCACTAGAGCTTTCAGAATATACTTGCACCCTGAATGCGTTTCGAGTAGATCCTCGAGAGTACCAATCTCGGCAGCCAGCATGAGCAACTTAGTTCCACGGGTCATAAAAGGTGAGATAGCGTCTAGCGTATTGCGATCTAGGGTGATGGTATTGGAGTATATTAGCCAGCGGTGATAGAACCAAAGCGACTGATCGTGGGGGTTCGTAGAAATGTTGCGTTTTAGTAATTCTAGCTCTATGTCCTTTTGTAAGCATTTTCCCGGTGAGAATAAGGGGCGAAAGAGACCATCTTCCAGAAAATCCATCCTCTCCTGCTTTCCACACTTCCTCTCGGACAGCAACCTCGGGATAAGTTTACTTCTGTTATGCCACGCCGAGTAATTACTCATGCCGCCAACCCCTTGAACCATCTTGGTTGTATATGCAAACTCTTGTTCCACAAGCGATGTATCCATTGATGAAGGGTTTTCAACCTCATCACCGGGGACATTCTTCTGTCTCGGCGACTCGATGTTGGAAATAACAAACCGCCGATACATCCATCCGTGGAAGTTCCTAACATCCCTGCGTAGCATGAGACCCACTAGACCTAACTCTTCTTGCCAGAAGATATCCGCTTTATCGGCGGGTAGTATTTCCGTTGCACGTTGAAGGGTCCACAGACGGTGATTCCAAATCCAGTAACATTTCGGGAATGAGGAGAGCAGTGGTAGTAAGAAGGCGAGCTCCTCCTTTAGGTGGAGGGTAGCTTTAGATGTATAGGCCGCACGCAAAGACCTCGCAACTTCTTCCGGGCCCTGGCCCGTTTCATTAACCTCGGGACAGGTTCGAGCGGAAGTTGAAGCAGGGGGAAGGGGGATCCCAGGAGATGGGTGTTTCGACAAAAGCGTCTGTTGAAGGATCTCGCGCCGGTAGTTCCAGATGGTGTAATACTCCGGATTAATCTTCAATAGACGGGTAGTTCCCTCGAGAGCCTCGAGATTATACTCTCTTGCTAGCCTCTAATGTCCGTCAGCTTTCCCCCAGTTGAACGGGGGAGGAAAAATACCCGCTCTTGGACGGCGCCTGCAAGTTGGTTGTATTCCTCAATCTTTTTAAGCTCTTTCTCCCGACGATGCCCGTCTCGGGACTGCGCAGCGTACTCGCTTCTAGAAATACCGTGCTATGTAGAGCTTAGCTACAATACTCCAAAAGAATAAAGAGGAACCCTCTTACACTCGCCATTTCGCAATGCTATTGTTGTAATCAGAAGCCAATCGAATCCCACCACCACTATTGCCGTTGTCTCAAAAGACAAGGGAGCTAGCCACCATTCTAAGCAGTCTGATCAACTAATCAACCCATCTAATCAAATCAATCTAATCAAGGGCAAAACCCTTACAGCACACACAGTCCCCCACAAAACACAATTCGGTAACCACGCAACCCTGCCAATCCCACGCCCGCCAAAAGAGAATGAATGAAACCCGCTGACCCAACGACGAAGACGAAAAAAACAATAAAATAGCCAACATCCGACCGCCCCTCACCGCCTGCCATCAATACCCCGTCAGCAACAACAACAACAGCAGACTCAGAAAACCAACGACAATATGGCTACCGAATTGACAGTCCAGTCTGAGCGCGCTTTCCAGAAGCAACCTCATATCTTCCTTGCCAGCAAGACCCGCCCAGCAAAGAGGAGAGTGGGAAAGGGTGGGAGGAGATGGTACAAGGATGTTGGATTGGGTTTCAAGACCCCCAAGACTGCTATTGAGGGAACATATATTGGTTTGCTCTCCTTACTACGGAAGATTATGGAAGGGATAGATCTGGGGGCTATACATAGAGAGGAGAGAAAAGGGAAAGGCTAATTGATATGGCTCCTTCAACAACAAACAGACAAGAAGTGCCCCTTCACCGGTCTCGTCTCCATCCGTGGCCGTATCCTCACTGGAACTGTCATCTCAACAAAAATGCACAGAACCCTTGTCATCCGCCGCGACTACCTGCACTACATCCCTAAGTACCAACGTTATGAGAAGCGTCATAAGAACATCTCGGCACACGTTTCCCCAGCTTTCCGTGTCGAGGAGGGTGATCAGGTTACCGTCGGTCAATGCAGGCCTTTGTCGAAAACTGTACCCCTCCCTCCCTTCCCCCTTATTAATCTCTATAGATCTTACTAAATGTACTTACCAAAGGTTCGCTTCAACGTCCTCCGCGTTCTCCCCCGTACTGGCAAGGGTGTGAAGGCTTTCCAGAAATTCTAAGCCAATAATTAAAACGGGGCCTTTATCTTCTTCTTGCAGTTTGTTCTTCATTATCTTATTTCTCCTGCTGGAATGGGGTACCAGTAGGGTAATACAACGTCGGCATGTGGCTAATTATATGGGCTACCATGGAGGTGATTGTATTTCTGTTACAAAAACAAAATGTGAACGAACCTTAGAAAAACAGGCCCTTTGTTTTTCCCTGCTCTCGCGGCCCTTGTGACGGGGTAGTGTGTGGTTATAAATGGTGTCGGAAGCAAAGACTGGAAATAGTGACATGGACTGCTCCTGAATGAGCGAACGGGTGGTTAGACGGAAGGACGGGGGGATATGTGGGCCCCATAATGCAAGGGAGAGGAAGGGTCAGGGAATTCTGCAAAAACCCAAATATCAGGCGCAAGGGGCACGATACAGCACCGGCCAGAGGACTGCTAGTACGGCAGATTGTCTCTACTCGCACCGCTTATAATCCACCACCGTGGGCTGTGTCTCTACATCCATCCATCCATCCGCCCATATATCGCCCGCCTTCTAGCTACCCTACAATACAATAGCCTTGAAATAAATAAGTACCCACACCCTCTAGCTGCAAACAAAAACACTATAGAACACCCTTCCTCCCTCGTATCATGTCGTATCGCAAAATCCTGCGTGGATAACCCATGACACCCTTTCCCACACTGCACAATAACATACCCACACCCCTACCGCTGCAGCAACAACCTCGCCCACTCCGTTCTGGAGCCGTGCGCCCAGGAAACTATCACCCTATTATACAACGCCGTGATTTGGACTAACCACCAAAGACCCCCCCCCAAATAGACAGACTAAAGCTCGACAAAGCTCCACCGCGGCACCAATTCTACCATTCCCCACTTCCTCTCCCCACTCCGATACGTCACCCAGTCCTCGTCAAAACAATCGAGTGACACAGTATGATTGGATTCTGTACGAACAAGCAAGCAAACAAGCGCGCGCCAACAACCTCAAAAAGGCGTGTTCAAAAGAGAGAGAGAGAGAGAGAGAGAAAGGGATTTCTTTATCGTAATGTATGATAGCTAGCTAGCTAGGTTACCCACAAAAACAAAAAAACATATACACCTACCAATCCGTCCAGAACATCCTTCCCAGTCGCAAATAGCAAAAGCAATGCAGGCTAAAAGCAATTCAGCGCCCCCATCTACTCTTCCCCCACCGATCCGAATAAGCCAAGTCAGGCAAGACGAGACAAGAGGGAGAGAGGGAGGGAAAGAGCAAACATAATGCAGCCCATTCCTATCCCCCCAATGAAATAGAGAAAACCGAAAGCAGAAACTTACTGTGTGGGGTCAAAAACAGGCAAAAAAGGAAAACAATAATGAATGGGTGAAAAAAACCTTGCCGTAAATTAAGAAATGGAGACAAGGCAATAGAGAAACCAACACCAGAAGCCAAAGCCCGGATGAGAATATGAGTACGAATATGAGTGAATATGAATATAGAAAGAGAAGTGGAAGAGATACGGGGAAAAACCCCCGGGCGCGAGGGGAAATGAAAGAAACAGGGGTGCCAAGTCTTCATGTTCCCCCTATCGCTTTCAACCTGACCCGCCTTCAGAATACATAGCGCACGTACTTTTGTTCGTTTCCCATAATGGTACACAATGGCGTGACCTTATTTCTGCCCGCCGCCGACGATATCACTTGGAAAAAATAAATAAAACGAGAAAGTAGAAAAAGTCGAGAAGAGAAGAGAACAAGAAAAATGCAAACAAAATCCACCTCCACCGGTTCTCTAGCACGCTTCACCTCTCTTCCAATTCACTCTCATAAATCGCCCCCCCTCTCTCCAGGAAATCGTGTAAATTCGTAAAGGACCTCTTCTCTCGTCTCGAAAACTCAGGTGAATCGTAACGTGCTACAGCCATAACCCAACCGCGGAACAAAAAATGGGAAAAAATAGAAACCCGATTGTCAAGCTCAGAAGCTCTGGGCGGCCATGCTCGCAGGCTGCAATTTTCCGGCGAATACAATCAGCACCCATCGCATGTGGCAAATCCCGAGGCCGGAGCTCAACTTACCGGACTCTGGTACATCAAAGATGCTCTCTTGCCCCTGCCTTTCTTCATCTGCTGCTTCAACGCCGCAGAGTCTAGAGGCTTGAGCAACTCAAAGCTGCATAAGAGCTCACCCGAAACGGACATCACGGCCCCCCAGTTGTCGAATTCTCCACAATACTTCATAAGCCCGCTCAGTCAGTTCCCTAACAACTCCAAATACGGGCCAAGAATCCAACTTACGTTCGGCGCCGAAAAGACCGTCACCAGATTCCTATCATTGAAAAACTCGTATCCGTCCTCTACAACCATATGCGCTCGGCACACTAAATCAAAGTCATGCCGCACCAGAAACTCCTGGATAACCTTCTTGCCAAAGCAGTAACTAACCCCTCGCTCGTTCTCTTCCCAATCCGTCTGCATATCGGCCGGGTCACTCCATAGGAGATCGTTGAGCAAACCGTAGTCAGGGACGTCCGTCGGGCGCGCGATTTGCCGGATATCGTCCATGTGCGAAAGGGATGGAGATAGCCCACCATGAACACAAAAGATCTTACCCGCAACAATCGAGGCAATCGGGAGACAGTTAAAAGTATCGACAAAAGTTTTCCAAATCTTGATATTGCACCGACGCTTACACTCATCATAGAATCCATACACTATCGATGGTTGCAGTCAGCATTCCGCCAACAATGCAAATATTAGAATTCAATCACGACATGACAACATACCTCGTGTAACATTGGCGCACTCATGATTCCCCCTTAGCAAAAAGAAATTCTCCGGAAACTTGAGCTTGTAACATAGAAGCAAAAGAATAGTCTCGAGACTTTGTTTGCCCCGGTCCACATAATCGCCCAGAAACAGGTAATTCGCATTCGGCGGAAATCCACACATCTCGAACATACGAATCAAATCCGTGTATTGGCCATGCACATCCCCCACAACTTTTACTGGGGGGCGTAACTCCACCAATGCGGGTTGCGACAAGAAGACTTCCCGCACTGCGTGACATATGGCCGTAATTTCGGCATTCTTGAGGCAGACGGCCTTCGTAACCTTTCCAGCATACCCAGCATCGAGAAGCCGCGTGATCATGTCGTCGAGGTCTATGGACTTGAGTGCGGACATTTGCATATTGTCTGCCCCAGGCGAACCACCCTCCGTGGACCCATTTCCGATGGTGACAGGGTTTGGAGCACCCGGCCGTTTTATCAAAATCGATTCCTTGGGTGTTTGCGAATGGGGAGGCTGCATGGAGCCAGATCCGGCAGGCACATCAGAGACATGGTCCACTTCCTTGTTCTTTCCACCTTCCACCGCCGAGTGACCCTTTCCAATATATCCGTGAACCGGCGATGGTGGGGGAACGAGCGAGTTGGTAGAATCGTAAGGGGTGTTTGTTGACGTAGAGGGTTCGGAGTTCGGTACAGACCGAGAGAGTGAGGAGGTCAAGAGTGGGGGAAGGTTAGGGTTAGAATTTCGGGTCTCTCGTCGCGATGGCGCACTAGTCGAGGATCGAACGGATGCTGCGTCAGACTTGTCTACAGCACCAGGAAGAGCAGCGAGAGAGGTTGAAGGACTATCCTTGCTCGTCGAGGCCGAAATCTTACTACGAATCGATTCGCGAATAGATCTAGTAGAGCCTTGAGTGTCCGACTTTGTTATCGGTAAGGTGTTCCCATCTACGCTGAGCGAAACCGTAGAGGAGCTTGCCGGCGCGCTACCCTTTTCGCCAGGTCTCTTGGAAGGCTGCTGACCCATTCTCTATCTGTTCAGCCAAGATGTGAATGTTTAGTGACGAAGCAGCTGTCTCTAGAAGATATTAGGTGAAGTCCAACCCAGTAAGAGTATGGAGGGAGTATGGGGAAAGAACAGAAGATCGGTAATGTAGTAGAAAGGTTCGGCTGATTATCCCTGGTGGCGAAGCTTGGAGGTGGAGGAGGGAGGCGAAGCCAAGAAACCCCGACCGGAGCAAGGCTGAACGGGGGTTGGCGCGACGGGGAAAAGGGTGGAAGAGGAGAAGAAAGGTTATGGAGGTTCAAAGAGCGAATTTAAGAAAAGGAGAAACTGGCTCTCAAGGAACGGCGTCGTCTTGAATGGCACCCCGCGATGATCCAGAATTATGCCGCAATGCCGGAGAGGGGGAGTGAATGGACAATCGTGGCCCGCGTTGCCCGTTCGAGAGGCCTGTTGGTGAGCCGCTAGAAGAGCAGGAAAGCACGGTGGCGGTGGGGAATGAGGAATCCAGGGCGTGTCTCGAAAGTCTGAAGACAATCCGATCGCAAAGTGGGCACGAAAGGAAGTTTGTTGCAGCAAGATACTATGGGAATTGTTAGTATCCGAACGGGACTTTCTCGGCAGGTACAGGCAGGGAGCTGGATATGAGTGAGGGACGAGGGGTTGTGGAAGGGGTGCGTGTGCAGGAATAGTGGAAAAAAGGAGGGGGTAGATGGAAAGAGGGAAGGATGGATGGATGGATGGAATGGATGGTAAGTGTGGCGGTGATAGAGCTCAAGCAGGAACAGCAGATCGAAGAGCAGAACAGCTGCAGTTGCAGATATGCAAGCAGTAGGACAAAGCAGGGAGAAGAGGAGTAGGATGGAGAGGTCTGTGAGATAAGCTCCCCGGCCCCATTACTCCCCCCCCGGCAATCCGTGACAGATACGCAGGGAGGGAGGGCGCGCGATGAGTTGCTAGTCTCCTCCAATCGTGCGGATGAGGGAGGAAACAAGCAAGCACCAAGCAAACTTTCTTTGAAATCCTCCCCTCTTTCTTCCTCTTCTTCCCCTTCCTCTCCTTCCCTTCTACTTCCTCCCTGATCCATCCTCTGCTTACCTTGTCTGCCTAACCTGCTTGATGGACTGGTACCACTCTGCCCTACTATCATATTCACTGACCCAATTTACCACCCCTCTCGCACACACCCAACCAAGCAGCATCCAACCATACCTTTTCCACAGGGAAAGCAATGGGAGGCCGGTTATCCGGATTCTCTGTACAGGAAAGCACTCAAAACTCACCTCAAGTGATGGCGGATCAAGCTTCCTTATCCAGGATTTCTTCCGCAGATTGCTCCCAAGTCTGCTGCTGGAGGAGACGAAAAATTGACGGTAAGTCCACCTTGAACAAAGCTCGAGCGTAGATGAGAGGGCTTTTTTTTTCTTTCCAAACGTGTGAATGGTGAAGCGTGTGGGGAAGAGGAAGAAGAAGAAAAAAACTGATGGAGGAGGAGAGGAGTTGGTTGTAAAGATGTGCAGCGGTACACGGAGTGAGAAAAGCGAGGGGGACAGGGTTTGCGGTTTCAATTCAGTCCCGTTTCCTCCGCAGACTAAAGTACGGGGA